TGTTTATTGCTTACCTCTAAAAAGATCGTGGGAATTAAAGGAAGAAAGGCTATGAAGAGTGCTAGAAGTGGAATGAATAAGTTAAAAGTTGTATCCATGATTCAGAAATAATGTTTTTCGTAGCTGCAAATAATTGATTACCTTGACCAAAAAACAAAAAATATTGCCTTTTCAACTCTCATAATACAATAAAATTAATTCAAAAAACAAAACAATAATACTTTTTTCTTGGAAATAAGAATAAAAATATAGGACAAAAACGATGGGGGAAACGGGAAAGGGCAAATTGAGAGGACTTTATTGTTTACCATAACATATTGTGATAGCCCGAAGACGTCCTGGATGATTCTTTGCAAGTACCTCTGTAATGAATGATCAGTTAAATTTATTATTTAGAAATAATCAAATTCATAATATAGCTGGAAGTCTGCGACCCTTGATTTTCTTTCTATAATCTTTAGTTAAAAAAAATATATAGTACAAGAATGCTGTTAAAAAAAAAAAAAACAGTTAAAACTCATAGTACAATAATTAAAAATGTACTTTATCAAATTAAGAAAGAAAAGCAAGAACATACATGCATCGACTTTTGATTGTATATTTTCTTTTAGATTGTATATCTGCTTTGCTCATGAAAAATGTATTTACTCTGTTTATTTTTATAAGTAAGAAAAAAGATACATGTACATCTTGGTTTGCGATGAATTAGGAGAAAAAAAATGAAAAAGGCTGAGTGGATGTCAACGTCTTGGTTTGCGATTATCCTGAGTATGCCAAGAAGTTTGCTGAAGAAACATGGGCGAAGAACAAAGATGAATGTACATCTTCTCATCTGTATTTTGACCTTGATATAATCCTCGTCTTATAATTTGACTGACGCTATTGGATTTTGTACGCTGAGAAGCAAGCATTTGAAGAGGCAGAGAAGAAAAAAGAAGAGGAGGGTACTTTCTTGACCATGATTTGTGACTTCATGTTTGCTTGCATCGTTGATATTATAGCCAAATGAGAAAACTTTTGATGAATTCAGAAATTGGAAAGTTGCTTTTTCAAAAGCCAATTATTAGTCCTGTAAATGCTGTCCATTACTCCTGCTATTTTCAAGTATGTCTTTTCTGTAATCCCTAACTGAGGCTATGGTTCCATATCGTTTCTAACTTAATTGTGAGCTTTTTAATCTTTCCATCAGGAATCTAAGGATGCAGTCGATTCTGATGTAAGTCACTGAGTATGCTCTGTTGTTTGATATTAGTTGTTTGATAGTTCTGGGTTTTAACCTTGCCAAGTCAACTCATTCCCCAGGTTGTGAGAATAGAGACGATGCCGATAATGCTGAAGAAGATTCTATTCTGAAACCAAATCAGACGGAAGTGAAGAGACCAAGGAAGATGTACATGCATGTAAGTTATTTACTGATTTACCGGTGTATACTAAACAACTCTATAACTTGAAATGCTTATGAATTGATTTTCTCTGCTCAATCTTTGCAGGATGAGCTTTGAGGCAAAAGCACCGTGATGTTTTGCTGACAATATGGGTCCAGAGATAGTAAGGCAATTAAGCTCCCCAAAATTTTTCCATGATCTTTTTTTATCTTCAGCTGTAGGATTTCTGTTTTAGTGGAGAACAAAATTGAAGGAAGCAATTTAAATTGTATGAGCCTTTAGAGCGAAGGTCACATTCAGATTATAAAATAGTTTGGACATTTTCTTTGCAAATATTTTCTTATATACAGACCATCGTCAAGTCCTTTTATTTCTTATTAATTTTGGCTCTAACCCACCATGGTGAAGAGTTGGGTAGGCATCTACATAATTGGCATCTAGGAGCAGAATACTTCTTCGACATCAAATCTGCAGTCAACAATTTATTTAGCCAAAATCTTAATCTTAACTGTTGCATGCTGTTTGGTGAGAATGAGTCGGGAAACAACTCCAGTAAGATAGTAACAGAATGATGCTCTTTACTCTCTAGTTGGGAAAAACTACTGGGTCTTTGCCGCCGTTGAGAATAGATAGAAGCCACGTTGTTAGCCAACCTTAAACTGCGTCCACCTCACCCTACTCCTGCCACGCGTTTCCTTGCGTGCGCAGCAAATCAATTTGGTTGCTGCTTAAATCATGTGTACTCGCAGTTTGATCCAGAATCAATCGTAAGAGCAATGCTAGGGGCACTCGCTTTCTGCACTCTCCGGCCAACACTTCCCCTTTCATTGGGCCACGTAACCTTCTTTAAAGCTCTCAGCGCAACCTCTTGGAAACCAAAATAACGTGGTCCAATAAAAGAGAAAGTGTTGGCTGGAGAGTGCAGGAGGCGAGTGCCCCTAGTATTGCTCTCAATCGTAAACACAACCACTAATAAAGTCACAAGTTCTCAGCGAAGCCACCAACACCACCACTTCTATCCGTGAGACCGCTACCTCCGCCATCCAAGGCTTCGGTTCCGTCAACAAAATCCACCAACATCTCTGCGAGTATTAACTAACCCACCAATTATTTATTTATTTCCCCATTTTGTAATTTAATCCTTTTGGTAATTAAAAGGAATATTCATCTGGAATTGCATATGTATGTAGATTCCATTTCTACAGTAACGACATGACCCGTCAAGTAGAGG